GTGACAAATCAGATCCAAATAACTACAGAGCAGTTGCCTTGTCTAGTTGTATGGCCAAATTATTCACCAGCATATTAAATCAAAGGCTGACATCTTATTTGGAAAAAAATGATTTACTGACGCAAGTACAGTTTGGTTTCAGAAAACAGGGACGCACAACAGATGCTATATTTTTACTTAAAACAGCTATAGATAAAACATTGTACAGCACTCAAGGAAAAAATTCTGATAAACCAAAACGCATGTACTCATGTTTTATAGATTTTAGAAAAGCTTTCGACAGCGTCTGGAGGAAAGCATTATTCCTAAAATTACAAAATTTAGGAATAAATGGTCATTTCTATGAAATCATTAAATCCATGTACAATAACATAAACTACAAGGTAAAGATGTCAAATGGTTTAACAGGGGGTTTTCAGTCCACATGTAGTGTGAAACAGGGTTGTAATATCTCACCAACCCTTTTTAACATCAATGATCTTCCAGGTCATTTTGGTAAAAGTGGTGATACACCAATCATGATTGGTGATAAACCCTTAAACTCTATTTTATATGCAGACGATCTTGTTTTTTTTCACAGACTGCAGAGGGTTCACAAAATTGTCTGAATAAATTAGCAGACTATTGTAAAACCTGGAATCTTGATGTGAATGTTAAGAAAACCAAAGTGATGATATTCAACACAAGTAACAGAGTACTGAAAAACCAAACTTTTATTATAGATGGTAAAAACATAACACCAGTCAAGGAGTTCTGTTATTTGGGTATGATATTCACTTCGAATGGAAAATTTAAAACAAACCATTGTATGCTAAAAAATAAAGCAATGAAGACATTATTTGCCATTAGACATAAAACGATTTCAACTTCATTGAATAGAATAGAATAGAATAGAATAATGCTTTATTAATACCGTAAAGAAAGAGTTAACATTTCCTTTTAGGTTTTCAGATTAAAATTATTGTGTTTAAAATTATTTGATCAGTTGGTTACACCCATTCTAATGTATGGGTCAGAAATTTGAGCAGGTGAACTAACAAATGACACAAATAACCTAGAGCAAGTTTGTAATAATTATTATCGTTTTATTCTTGGTGTTAGTAAATTTACACCATCAGTTGGTATAAGGGGTTAACTAGGTAGATTACCAGTAAGAATAAATGCAATGGTTTCAAAGGTTAAATACTGGCACAGAATAAATTTACTTAAAGGCAATACAAAATAATTCTACCTGGATTACTCAAATAAAAACAATTTTTGGAGAAAAAAACTTGTCTAAAATAAAAGAAACTTACAAATTCAACAATATTAAACAACTAACCAAGCTATGGAATGAATTTATTCAATCATGGAGAAAACAAATAAATAAAAAAGAGGGGAACAAACTTAGAACATATAATATATTTAAACAAAAATTTGAATTAGAAAACTATCTAAATGAATTGAAAAACTTCAGCCAACGTAGAGTTTTAGCAAAGTTTAGGCTCAGTGACCACAAAACTTGAAATTGAATTGGGAAGAAAGAGTAAACCAAAAACCCCAGAAAATGAAAGAACTTGCAAAAAATGCAATTCAGATCAAATTGAAGATGAAATGCATTTCATCTTAGATTGCAATTTCTATGAAGTAGAGAGAAAACACGTCTTGAAGTATTTTAAAATAAAAATTAATGACTTGTGCAGAATGGAAAGCTTTGTGAAAATAATGGGAAATAATATGGCTTTGTCATATTATTTAAAAAATACAATTTTCTAAAAGTTAAATATGTAACTGTGGTGTGGGAGAACCTTGCTGCTGTTTAATCAATTTTTCAGAGATTTTCTAATTTGTATTTCTTTCTTTTGTTGAATTTCAGTGTATTTTAATTTTAGTGTTTTAGTGCGTCTTATTTTATTTGTCTTTTGTAATTTTGAAATGAGTAGAACTCCAAAAAAACAAGTTGTCCATCAATTTAAATCAAAGAAAGCTTAGAAAGAACTCCCGTGTGCTGAGAGTATTGAAGACACATTAAAAATTAATTCAAAATTACTTGTACACGAGATATTGATGGAAAAACTGAAAACTAATTATGTAAATCAGGTAACTAATATGAACAGAAAAGAACAAAAAAATTATGAATTATTATGCTAATTAGAGAATTAATATAAACAAATTTTAACCCAAAATTAATCAGGCCTGTCTATTGTCCTAGAGCATTTATGTACCAAATTTTATTCAAATGTGATGATCAGTAATTGAGATATCAGTGTTAATTAATTATGTTAATTAGGTGATTAATAAGCATAAATATTTACCAAAAACTAATTGGGTCTCTGCATAGTTCTCTTTAAAAGTTACATTAAAATCGAATCTATGTACCAAGTGTCATTGAAATGTGATGATTACTACTTGAAATATCAAAAGCTGAAAATTAATTAATTATGCAAATTAGGTGATTAATAGTAAACTATCAGGTCTGTGCAGTGTCCTACAGTCATGGAACAGCTAAAAATCAGCTAATTATCATGCAAATTAGGTAATTAATATGAATGGATTTTTACCAAAACCTAATCAAATCTGCGCATTGGCCCAGAGCATCTATGCACCAAGTTTCATCAAAAATCAATGTATGGTTCTTGAGATATCAGTGGAACAGACACACACAGACAGACATACATGTACTAACTGCAAAGACTCCCCTTTTTGTGCTTCGCACACGGGAGTCAAAAAAAGGTTTCAGGCATGCAAAATGTTTATGGTTAACTGTATCAAAATTCAAAAACAACTTGCGATATCATTCAACTAAACAGGTCGTGCCATTGTACCAAATTTAAATCATTGAAAATGTATCTGAAAAACGTGCACTGCCAAACCCCTGAATGATGTCAATGCCAAGTTTGACTGCAATAGGTATAGCCTATATACCTATAATATATTATAGGCATGCCAAAGATAGGGATGACATGTATGAAAGTTGATTTTTAGGTTGTTCTTTTTGGTGGTGGATGTGTTATCTTTTTTCCCAGTAAACCACATACCTTCCTAGCAATCAACTATACACAGTATAATGTGATAAACAGAACACTTCAAAACTGTAATGAAAGATTAGGTCACTAAATTTATTGTTATCAGCACCAAAGTGCATTTATTTGGGGCACACCCTCTACATTTTTAAGTACACTAGAAGTCAGGGATTTATTTCGACATAATTGTTTTGAAAACAATTTATTTTCTTTCATTTAAAGTTGATACTTCTTAACTTAAAAAAATGTCATGGTTACATATCCTATTTTAAGTGGCACAGTCATAACAACACATCCTGTACAAATGATTCCATGTAACGTCACAATGTATGTAATAACATTTGTTTGTTCACATAAAAATTAAAATGCAAATTTAATAAACTTTTAAAAACATACATTTATGGTGACAAATAAATTCCTAAAAGTTACTGTACTTCTGTAATTTAATTTAATGTTTATTTAGTAAAGAAATGTACATTTGATGATCCATAACTCTTGCACATTAATTAAGTTGGTTTGCTGGAATCATAGACCTGCTGGAATTTACATTGTAAGTTAATGAGGACAACATATTTTGTACAGTTTATGACCAAGCCCCTACAGACAATGGCTGATTTGTTGATTTGAATTAAATGTGAGGAGTCTTCCACACTAAACGTTTGATAAATATTTTATAAATTTCCATAAAAAAAACATTCATCTCTTCATGTAAAGAAATTAAAAATTGTTAGAAAGTTGCTGATAGTTTTAGAAGTCACTTATTTTAATTTTTCTTTTCCTATCTTTTTTATTAATGTTGTAGTGAATGATATACAAAATATTTACAAAACCACACGTCAGCAACAATTGATTTTTGACATGACGCCAAATATACAAATACAAATAACTACTTCGATATGACCAATAATTTTACTGAAGAGTTTCCCTTTTGAAAACTTGAGGTGAGCTGGAGGATTTTTTTGAAGAAGATTGCATGTGAAAGACTGATGAAAAATGTGACTAAAAAAATATTTGTCCGGCATATGAAACAAAATATATGGACAGCCTCTTAGCAACAAACTTAATTTGTATTTTTTGGATATGGTTTATGTGAGTGAACATCATTTATTAAAATTTAATGGAAAATATATATAAAATATGTCGTTTATGATGATTATTCGACCAAAAGCATCGATAACTACGGCAACAGAAAACAAGCATGTGATTGTAGAAATATATGCACAGTTTTCACGCATTTGACCTTGAGAATGACAGCACACAACCTAAACACGGAAGTCAGTTTTAGTGGCACGCCAATCTCATTGCCAGTGGTGAATGCGAATACATATATATATTAGAAATACTGTTCAGCAAATATGAGTTCTTTGGGAAAGACTAATACAGCCTAGAAGTGACAAAGGTCGTTTTTTATGCCATGTGTTAGGCGAGTGTAGCCTTGAAACTAGGTCACTTTCAAAACAACACCACGTGTGGACGAACGCGGGAATATGTGAATAAACCGTAAGCTCGGATTTATTCAGAGGTCATAGCTATTCACTCTTACCTTAACTGTTCTCCAATGATGTATATATAGGAATTATTTGGACCAGAAGAGTCCGAACGTTTGCGTTCTTGTCCTGTCGGTCGGTCCATTTTGCCGGGTTTCGAACGCGATTTGTTTTTGTTGATTTATGTAAATTAGGTTTGTCTTCTGTATGCTAATTAGGTTAACCTCGAACGATCATAGTGATTTTATAGCTCAGTTCGTCCATGGAGGTCTTTAATTTAAGCATATTATTTCTATATAAAATGACAAATCAACTAAATATTATTTTATAATAATTGTTACAACAGAGAATAAGAATATTATAAATATTTAAATCGACCAAATCTTTTCGAACACTCATTTTGTAACCTCGTACACTAATATCCAAGATGGCGGGAAACTTGAGGTATGTTTTGAAATCGTATTCACGGAACATACTAGTATATTTACAAACATTATTATTAGACACCAAATAAGCACATGTCTTCACGGCCCTTGACATATAATGATAATACCAAGATGATTATATTTGGTTATAAATATTGACGATAATCCACATGGGTTGTTTGGGGCTGTTTGGACATGAACAGGGACGGGCGTGAGCGAAGTGCAGTGTTCTTGTGTGTACTAGTAATAATAATAATAATAACTTTATTGCATCCTTAGAAATACAATGTTTCTATCAGTTAATAGCAATAAAGATTAGTTGTGATAACTACTACTACAAAAAGAAAGTTAGTTGTTAAAAGGATAAAGCAAGTGTTACGTATCAAATGGCATTTTTATTTCTTGATTGAAATGCATTTTGAATATAGTTGCCAATCTTTTTTATTATTACATCATCTTTTGAAGTCATCAAGAAATTAAATTTCTGGAGATCATCCTGTGTTTCTTGTGGAAATGTAATGTCTTGTATGATTTGTTGGCGTATTACTTTATATTGTGGACATTTCATAACAAAGTGCAGTCATCATTCTGTGAACATTGTTTGCAAATTCTATTTTCAGTAGGTATTTTTGGTTGCATATGCCTCCCTTTTTCTATTGCTAAATTGTGATTACTAGTTCGAAATTTTGTCATTGAAATTCTTTGTTTCAAATTCAACACATCCAAGTATTTTTCAAAATTATAATAATAATATAATGAATTTATTGCATCCTTAGAAATAATTTCCATTCGTTGACAGCAATAAAATGTTAGTAATAAATCACAATTCATATAAAACTGAGGTAAAATGTCAGTTATTGTTACATGTATTTCTGATTTCAAATATTTTATACAAGTATTCACCAACTTGTCTTATTATTACGTCTTCACTTGAACTCATAATATATTTAAATATCTGGTCATCACTTTTTAATTCTTCTGGAATATTGATATTATTAAATAACTTTTGTCTTTCTGTTTGGTACATTCTAAGACATTCCATGAAGAAATGTTCTTCATTTTCAATTTTGATCTGGGAACATTGCTTTCAGATTCTGTCTTCTAAAGTTATTTTGGGTTGGGTATACATGTATATGAGTCTTTGAATTTCTCAGTTTTGTTTTTTTTCCCAGAAATTTATGAATTTTTGTTGACAACTCTGCCAATTATGGCTATTTTGGGGGATATGTTTACATTAGTACTTGACAGAGAAGTTGGGTGTCGACAAGGGTGGTGGTGCTGAAAAAATCACAATGAAAATTAGCACTAGCCGCTACAGAATGACTGCAGGGTTGAAAGTTATGTAATGGGCAGGCGAAAAAAAACAATTTAGTCTCCGATGAGCTTATACTCATGGCGCAACAAAGACATTCTCTTCATCTTAATAAGTATTTATGAATTTCAATAGCAGTTGAATCAAATCAGTCGATCAATAATCATTTGTGCGTAACAACATCAAATCACTACGTTCAATCACCCACCATAGACAAAATGACTATTTTGAACTGTAGGCATTAATTAATCAGCGATTCTGCCAATGACGGAGAGATAGAATCTAGGTCAGGGGGACCCCAAGATTCTAATTTCCCTTACGCCACGAACCACGTGACCGAGGCCATATGGCGGCACCATTACGGCTGGATATTCACTCTTTCTTTATCTCCGCATCGACGGGGATGAAGTTTAGCGGCTCTGCCTGGATCGCCTGCTTTTTCCTGTCCGGGTTTCTATATTGGGTTGTTGCTGCTGCAGCGGCATGCAACATTGTAGCTGGTAGGATAAGTTTTTCTTGTCATTTTTACCCTTGTGTCGTTTTCCCCTTTGTGTGTAGCATTTTTCATAACAACCGGCGTCGTAACTTAATCACTTGTTGATTTCATTGCGTCACCTTTTCCAACTGTAATTCCTTTCCCTCATGCATGTCGTCTTCATTTTATGCTTGATCGATGTATTTAGAAATGGATAGATGTAATGACAGCACCAGAGGTTTGTCACCGTTTTTTGTCTCCTCATTTTTCGACTGTGCTGTGGTTAAGTTAGTATTTACCAGCATAAAACCCGTATCCGAAATGCTTTTTGCTGTGGCGGGGTTCAGGGTTTTTGCCTTGAAGGTGTGTGTTTTCACTGGAGTTCTGAGGTCTGAGATGTTTTTTCAGAGCCATGCAAATTGCTGAGACTGACTGCGTCGTTCGTATTTTCACAGCAAGGTCACGCGTCCAGTAAAAAACTGTTAAAGTGAGCTGCATGTTTGGCATGAGTAGAAAGTCCTCACGCTCGGCTACTGGTACTTCGTCTACCGAGACTTCGAGTAGGAGGCCCGATGGTGGAGGTACAATTTTATTATATTTTTTGGTCTCCCCCTGCTGATCGGAGGGCATCCTCACAGTCTGAGTTTTCAGGCAGTGGTTTACACGATTTTACCGACTACAGCGAGGCTGTGCCCCTGGACGTCTTTCCTTGTATGGGGCCCGTTGCAGGTCCCTTTGTGGATCCGTCCTTGCACGGCGCCGGGTTTGCCTCCGAGATGAGGGCTTTGGTCGAAGGATTGTCAGGGGAAATTGCGTTCCTGGCAGGCCGGGTAGATCAGACGCAGTTGGAGCAAGCTGTCTCCACTGCGGCCCCTCGATGGGCAAGCAGGAAGAATTACAAAAGTATCGCTGGCATTCAAAACATGTCTCTTCCATTCCCAGCTGCGACTCCCCCGCTGTTTTGGGTGATGCCGAGTTTCACGCTAGTTGCACCGGGTCTCCTCTGGGGCCTCGGGCACTGAATGCCAACAGGGATGCTGGCAGCCAAGCCTCCGATTTCGGGTCAGGGCACACGTTGCACCTCCCCCCTACTTTCAGCCAGCCAGGGTTCGCCGCGCGGTAATGGAACGAGGATTTTACCCTTGAGTCCAGTCTCCGCTGTGGGTTTTGACTCCCTTCTTACCGACCCACGGGCGTCCCCAGAGGGAACCGACCCTATCATGAGACGCACAGTCAAACACGCTCTCTCTCACATATTTAAGTTGAAATGAGACAGTTCGCTCGCGTTGGATACAGCTGGTACCTCGGACGGACCCTCAGAATCTTCTATCTGCAACGACTCGGTGAGGCACGCCGTTGGAATGATGCAGAGTATCATCGATCCTAGTGATACGTTGTAAATACCCCCACCCTTGATCCTAAGGCAACCAGTTACTGTTGCTTCAACGCTTATGGGGTCATGGGCGTCGGGATCCAAAGCAACCCCGTCGGCACATTTCCCCCTGTCCGGCCAAGTGCTGAGTGGGGTGCAGGGTGCGCAAACGGTGTAGAGGAGGTAACGATTAAGGCCCCCGGTTGGGGTAAAATCTTATGCAACACTTTACGCTGGACCAAACGCTACCCGGTTGGTGTTGTTTCGAGATCAGACCCCAAAGTGTGGGATGAGACCAAAACAACCCCAACCGGATCCCAAGGCTCCTTTTCCAGAACCCGGTACCACAAATTTCTGTTTGGCAAACCGGGTAAAGGGGGACGGCTGAGTTCCATGGGCATTCTTGCCAGCTCAGTCTGAGACGATCCATCACGCCCTGAGGGCAGAGTTGCTTGAGCACATTATTGTTCACGCCCAGGACTCTGAGACCTCGGTGGTGGAATGCACCAGCCTCCTAGACCAGGCGACACATTTACTTGTGGGCCACTGCACATCTACATGCGACATCCCCTAGTGTCTCCCCTATTGGGCACTGCCAGAGGACTTCCGCAAGGAAGAAGGAATCAGACAACAATTTTGCTGGATAAGACTGCCATACACAAGGTAGATCAGCCGGCATTAAGTCCAGGCTTCTACTCAAATGTGTTCGTAGTACCAAATCTACATTTGTACAGGTGGCGGGCGTTCAGTTCTGGACCTAGGTAGACTAAATCAGTACGTGCTTCTCAATCGGTTCCGCATGGAGACACCATTCAGCGTTCTTCTCTCCATCCACCGTTTCGACTGGCTAGCCCCACTAGACTTAAGCAAGCCTACCTGGACATACCGAAACACCCAGCGAGTTGCCATCTCCTTTGAATTGCCCAGCTGGGCCAAGTATTCAAATTTCAGGTGCCCCGTTCGAGTTATGCACAGCGCCCTACGTGTTCACCAGAGTGATAAAACAGGTAGTGTTGCTGCTTCACCAAATGTCAGTACACATCAATCTGTACCTAGACGACTTGTTACTACACAACCCAGACAAGGGGTTATTAGCCAATCACGTCAGGCTAACACAGAATTTTCATTTGGGCTCTTTAGTAAATAAGACAAGTCCCATCCCTACCCAACGCAACAGTTGGTGTTCCCGGGCATGGAGTTTGACACAGGTAAGCTTGGTATATCTATTTTGAGCACGTTGCTTAGCGCTAAACATTCTAGCAGAACGCTTAGCGCTAAGCATTCTAGTCGAACGCCTAGTCAACGTTCCCTCAGTGTCCCTCCGAGAACTAATTCGGATCATAGGAATGATGACCTCGGTTCGAAGGGTGGTTCCCCAGGCCGCACTACGCAGCTGCCCAGTGCAACGCTTGTTGTTACAATACCAAGCTCTCCTATGGGAACTAGATAGGCGGGTATTGATCTCGGACCAAGTGAAGGAAGCCCTGCCCTGGTGCTCGTCACTGGCCAACCTCTGACAGGGGGTCCCCTTGGACCCACACGCCACAGCTATGACTCTGGTAACAGATGCCTCCTCCAAGGTTGGGGAGCACATCTATTGGACGAACAAGCCCAAGGTATATGACCTCCGCATTAGTTTCGGGACCACCATATCAACCGGCTCGAACTGAAAGCAGTGCACTTAGCATAACCACACTTTCTATCTGTAGTTCGAGACCACAGAATCCTGCTCTGCATAATGAATTTAGGCAGAGGGTTCTTCGAACCCGCCTATTCACATAGTTCATACCCACCATAGCCTCCGGGTCCTCCCCCCAACCACCCCACTCTTTCCGTAGCGTTGGTCTAAGTCCTTGATGCAGAGAGAAAGGAACCAGAGTGAATATCCAGTCGTAATGGTGCGGCCATATGGCCTTGGTCACATGGCTTGTGACGTAAGGGAAAAGAATCTTGGGGTCATGGGGCTTCCCCTGACCTAGATTCTATCTCTCCTTCATTTGCAGAATCGTTGATTAATGCCTACAGTTCAAAATAATTATTTTGACTGACCGGAGTCTATGTTGGGTATGAACTATGTGAATAGGCGGGTTTGTACTAGTTAGTGCTAGTCTTTTAGTAAAAGCATTGTTTAAGTATCTGATAACATGTCTAAGCAGAGATGCCTCTGTCGTGTTTAAAATCATTTTGAATTTGTCTATGTAATTCTGTGTTGAGAAATTATTGGATATTCTGTTAAATTGTTCATAAAGTTCTTTTCTTTCATTTGTATATATTTGACAGTGTGTTATGAAATGTATTTCGTCTTCTGTTGTTTGACATATTTTGCTGATTCTTTTATCAGCTAGTGTTTTAGGACGTGTATGTCTCCCAACTTCAATTTCTAGGCTTTGGCAGCTTAGTCATATGTACTGTTGCTTTGTGTGTTTTTTATATTTACTTCAGTAATTGTGTTCATATACTTGTCAAGGATGCCATTAAACAAGTTTGGGTCATACATGATGTTTATACTTTTTTTTTCAGGATTTTCAGGGTAGTTTAGTCTTTGTTGCACATCTTGTTATGGCGATGTCTAAAAATTAAACCCTTTTTAGGGCAACTATTTTGAGCCCATACTGCTAGATTTACATTTTGATATCGGGGTGCTATGCAAGTCAGAAAAAAATGTCATACTTTTATATTATTTTCAAAACCTAGAAATTTTATTGACTTTGACAGTGATCATTTCTACATTGACTAATAAAGGGACTGTGTGAACACTTCAAGTGAAAGAAAAAAATAAATTGCATGAAGTGAATGATGAACACTCAAAAAGAAATTAAAAAATTTAAATATAATTTAAAACTTACATGTATCTACCCAGAATTTTTTTAGTTAAGCTATTTTTTTACACGTTTGTTTTATTCGGTCTGATAACATATACATGTATATGATACATGTACCTTCTGAAGTAATATATTTTTAACATGCCAAATACGCAACATTTAATTATATCTATCTACATTGTTTTTTGGTTGCGTTGCGCTGGGTTGGGTTGTGCCTTGTTGAAAGATTATGTAGATTGAGAAGCCAAACATTGATATCCAGGGTTTGTCGTGTGGTTTGTTTGTAGAACTCTTGAGCAAGTGCAGACTATTGCCACTGATGCCAAGTTGGAATTATCTGATCTGGCAAGTGTTTCACAAACTCTTTATTTTGCTGATGATTTGAATTCCTCTGGTATGAA